AAGCCATGGATCCATCAGCACTGGTGTCATCGCTTTGTGTACCTGGTATCACCGGTGTGGACACTCGTGCATCACCTCACTTCTCAGACACAAGGTAGTACGTTGGCCAAAATTGCCGTTGGTGATGGACATCAAACTCCTGTCTACGAGATGGCTTGTGAGCCATCTCGTAGCCATCTCGTCGGGAGGGATTACTCCCGACGAGAGGGTGTACAACCCATCTTGTTGGGAGGAATCCCTCCCGACGAGAGGGTGTACAACCCATCTTGTTGGGAGGAATCCCTCCCGACGAGAGGGTTTACAACCCATCTCGTTGGGAGGAATCCCTCCCGACGAGATGGGCTTAAGACCAGCTCATCGGGAGGGTTTCCTCCCGATGAGCTGGACTATGTACAAGTTTGGCAGTCCAAGTTTGCCGGTGAGTTCCACACACATCCTTACTCACCAGCGACAAAGTCAAGAGCCAAGTGGAAAGCCGCACAATGTTCACTCCTTTCTTGATGGCCTTTTGCATCTTCAGCTTCGTTCCGTCAATTTGACGGCTTCGTCAAGTCTGCCAACACCGCATGCTCCTCCTTGAACCTCCAGTTGGACGTGATCATCAAGGGACTCGGCTTGGACTTGAATCTGTTTGTCGGCGTGAACCTAAACTTGGGCGGGCTCCTTGGCGCAGTGGGCTCGCTTCTCGGCGGGATCCTCCGCAAGAGAGAAGTCTTCCTCTTGAACTAAAAACTGCTCTCTCTCTCTCTCTCCACTCTTTTCGGCTATGGACCCTTCGAGAACACTTCGACCCTGGCCTCGAAATCTGTTTTTGTCTCCTCCCCTCATCTTGCTTCCTCGATCACTGAGCTCTCAAAATAAACATCCACAACAGACTTTCCTTCTTGTTGTGTTCTTTCCCTTTCGAGTAACGTAACGTAGTCTATTAGTGCCAGCATGATTCCTGAATCTACATGAATTGTAGTTTATCTTATATCGACGAGACGTGCTGTGACTTGTAAGACCATGAAACACGCAGCACGTAACCCGCTGATCGGAAGAAGACGAGTGAGAACTCTATCACGAAAGACGCCTAATAACCAGCTTGATAGAGAGCCAGTTCATCGGGAGGGTTTTCTTCCAATGGAGCTGGTCTTTAAAC